CTGCTGCCCAGCCGTGAGCTGCTCTCTGCCTCAGAGTTGCGTGCACACATCTTTTACTGCTAGGGGACGTTTGTGATGGTTTAATGTGAAAGGACCTGGAAGTCTGTATAGAGCAGGCAAGTTTTCACCTTCGAGCCTAGGTTGCAAATGTTCATGGTGATGTTTTTCTTTACCAGGCGGAGAACGCGGCAGAGGTGGCCCTGGGGGTATGAGAGGAGGAAGGGGAGGCCTCATGGATCGTGGTGGCCCTGGTGGAATGTTCAGAGGAGGACGTGGTGGAGACAGAGGTGGATTTAGAGGAGGCCGGGGTATGGATCGAGGTGGATTTGGAGGAGGACGACGAGGAGGACCTGGGGGCCCACCAGGACCTCTTATGGAGCAAATGGGAGGCAGAGGTGGCAGGCGTGGAGGACCAGGAAAAATGGACAAGTATGTAGGAGAGCAAATGAAGGAACCTGGCAACAAGATAGGACAGAGGTCCCCAAACTGTGGGGTCTGCCCCCGGGGAGACAGGGAGGAATGTTTGGGGGAATGCTGCTGGGGCCCAGACCAGAGTGCTACCCAGCTGTGCACAGGGCCTGGCTGCCAGCCTCGGCTCTGCTCCCATCCGCACCTATGTCCCCAGCCTCAGCTGCCTGATCTTTGTCTGCAGAGTTTTTTAGGTTGGACATTGGGAAAAACTTCCTACCTGTCTGGGTGGTTAAGCGCTGGAATACATTGCCTGGGGAGGCTGTGGAATCTCCATCTCTGCAAATACTGAAGAGCAGATGGACACACACCTGTCTGGGGTGGTCTAGCTGGTGGCTGGGCCTGCCGTGAGGGCAGGGGACTGGACTTGATGACCTCTCGAGGTCCCTTCCAGTTCTAGTGTTCCTGGATTCTGCCCCTCCAGCCCCAGCTTGGGGGAGAGGTAAAAAATTTGGGGATCACTGGGCTATGATGATTTAACTTCCGATAGATTTTTGGGGTGGAGGCAGGGAATGAAATAAGATCTGCTGTGATCAAAGGCAAGTGGAGGAAGAAAGCTTAGAAAATCAGTAACTCTTGATCAGAAAGCTGATGCGGACAGGAACAAACAATGAATTAAAAAATGGTGACACTGTCCTCTTGGGCTAGGAGTGTGCATAAAATCATAGACGTCTCGGGCTGGAAGGGACCTCGAGCGTATCTAGTCCAGCCCCCTGCGCTGATGCAAGACCAAATAAACTTAGACATCCCCGACAGGTGTCCTAATCTGTTCTTAAAAACCTCCAGTGGTGGGGATTGGAAGTCTGAGTTTGGGAGTGCTTGAGTTAGTGTTCCCCGATCCCTACCCTAAATCTTTCCATGCTGAGATAAACCTCCTTACCCTGCCTTCAGCAGAAATGGAGAACAAGTGACCACAGACTTTATAACATCCCTTTACCAGACCTGAAAAATGTCCCCTCAGCCTTTTTCCCCCAAAGACTGAACTGTCCCTCATCACGTGTTCTAAACCTTTTATTATTTTCCTCTTCAGTCTAACAGCACAGCAAGGTTGTGGGAGTGTCCCGTGAGCTATAATCAAACAAGCTTTTTCCTTTGTGTAGGGGTGAACATCGTCAGGAGCGGAGAGACCGGCCCTACTAGAGGCAGAAACCTTCAAAGCTGCATTTACTACCAGATTTATTTTTTAAACCAGAAAATGTTTTAAATTTATAATTCCATATTTATAATGTTGGCCACAACATTATGATTACTCCTTGTCTGTACTTTAGTATTTTTCACCATTTGTGGAGAAACATTAAAACCGAGTTAAATGGTAGTGTGCGAGTTATTTTTTTCCTTTTAAACAAAATGGTTGTTTAACTAAAACTAAACCAATGAGAAACCATTGTTGTGAGCATGCTCAGTATCATTGTTTGCAAACCCAGGAGGAGGAGAACTAATTGTAACACTGTTAATGGTTGTGATGTTTTTTTAAAATAAAATTCCAAATGTTTATAAACTTAACACTTCTCAGCTTCTATTGGACAGCACTCTGGATACTCCACCTGTAGTCGGCATCACAAACTCCAGCTCTGTGGGCTCTGCAGAAGAGGCAGTGAGTTTCACCCATGAGTTGTATGTATCATATGGCTTGTAATCCTTTGCTATGGAATGCTGCATTGTGTGGAGGGAGCAGGGATTGAAAAGATCCTGAAGTGTATTTGACAAGGCTGAGCAGGCACGGCACCTGGGCCTTTAACCGGAAAGTGTGGCTTGCGGCATTCCAAGGACGGGATTGAACACCCCATTTCAAATGGTCCATTGGACTTGCCTGTAACTCAGGATGCATTGCTGGGTATATCGGTGACTAGGCATCTTGTAAATACCAGATGAATGTTCTCTCTGGAAGTGGTTTTGTTTCATGCATACCATGCCCGCCATCTTGGTATCTGAGTGCAGCTAAGGAGCCAGTGCTCTGGTGAAAACATTCAGGATAAGGCAGCCTAATAAGTAGAAATGCAGCTTGTATGAGCTTGAAAGGTAAATACAATTGTAATAAATCTCCTCTGAAAGTAAAACAGGCAGTGTGGTTTGAATGTTCAAGCGAGGTTATCAACCTGAAACAGCAGCAGCCCTGTGGATACAGGCACTGACCAGTTGCCACAGTAACTAATTTATGATACACCTGATTGAAGACTCTCAAGTCTCTGAATTTGGTCTTCTGTACCATGTGCCTGTGACAGAAATGAGACAAATATGCAGACACAAAACTCGACCAACTTGCACTCTTGCAGGTTCTTCAGTGCACGCTGCTAATTGCCAGAATGTAGTGCTCGCCACGCTCTGCGGGGGGGAGGGATGTGCTTACAGCACCAAGGCGGGATGCCTAGCAGGAAAGGAGGGGTCAGTGCTGGTGGAGAATTCCCAGAGCATGTCATGTAGCACGGGTACCAGGCACGGGGATTCCTACATGCCCCATGAGCATCTAAGGGAGGCAGTACAGGTGTGTGTCAGCCGCACTTTCTTCTAACTGCTCCACAGTCCAGCCTTGCCGTACTTGGGTGCTTTGCCACTGGACAGAGCCATTGGTATTAGATCTAGACCTGAGACTACAGATTTGCAGAGGGGGTTTTAATTCAGGTGACTTACAATTGGTAAATCCTGATTTTATTTCCTTATTGCAGACTATTAAATGATAGCGCATCTGAGTGCGTGTCTGCGTGCATACTGATCCCGGCTTAGCCCTTGGAATTGTGTAAGGTAGCAGAGCTGGTCTTGCTGTTGCATCCTGCTGCAGTGGGCCCCATGTCCTCTTCCTGCTTGAGAGAGAGATGGGGAGCAGCGTCTTCAGGGAGAGGAACATGCCCTGGTTCTGGGGCATCGCAAACTTCTGGGGTAGGGGTGGGCAAGCTACGGCCTGTAGGCCATGGAGCTCCCGCTGGGCGTGGGGTCCGAGGCTTCCCTTGTTTCACACAGCTCCCAGACACGGCACAGTCCCCTCCAGGTCCTAGGCTTAGGGCTGCCCCTGCCCTAAGTGCCCAGCCAGGCACTCTTAGATGGGTAGGGGCACACTCTTGCCTAAAATAGCATCCCAAGAGCCTCTGTTGCTGCATAAGAGGACTAGGCGAGTAGCCCCCTCTGGGCCTGGTGCCAGACCAGGTGAGTCTGAGCAGTGACTGCCCGAACAAGCCCTTCCTGGCCCCTATGGCCTTGTGCGATGATGAGCATTGCCCGACCGTCCGTGCGCCCAGCTGGTCGTTCCCCTCCACGTGTGGTAGCCTGGGTAGTGGCAGTGCAGACACAGAAGAGCCATGGGCTTGTACCTGGGCTATGCTGCTCTTGTCCAGCAATCCCACGGGTAGCTGTACCCCACCCAGGGGCTCGCCCTCTGCAGCTGCCCAGCTAGCATGTCCCTGCCGGGGGAGGGAGGGAAGAGCTCACCGAGGCCTGGCTCTAAGCGCCTGTTCACATTCCTTTGCTCTGCCATGGGCCCTCAGCATGATGCCTCCCTGCTCTGAATTGGGGGTTGGGCATTGCTTCCTGGCTGCAGCCAATGCCAGCCCCCCTGTGCCCCGCCCCAGCTCTCTGCCCAGCCACATTGGCAGGCCGCTGGCAAGCTGGGAGAGGTTTAATAACCGTAGCCCACTTGTGTCCCAGTTGGCCGGGATCATGAGCATGCACAGTATAGAGCAGGGTCCCTGTCTCCTGCTGGCACCGCTGGGGGCTGGCTGCTGCCCCCAGTAACACCAGCCTGGCAGATCTCCCAGCTGACAGTAAGTGCTCGGGGCCATGGGTGGGGAAGTGCAGGGAGGCTAATGGGGGAGAGGGGGGCGAGCTGGGTTTTGGTTCTGGAGTCCCTGGCTTCATGCTGAGCTCCCTGGCAGTGAGGTGCACCACGCTGGCCTCCAGGCGGAAGATCCCAGCTCTGGAGGAAGGGGCTAGGGTGGGGCTGGGCTGCTGGAATCCGATGAACACCCCCATGCCCTTGCTGGACTCAGCCCAGGTGTGTGCCCAGCCTGCTTGGCAGGGTTTCAGTGGCCAGCTGCCCCTCCCCCCCAAGCACTGGTGCCCAAGGCTATGGGCAGAGCGGCCTGGCAGTGTCAGCTTGCGGTGCGGGGGGGAGGGGACACTTTGCTAGACAGCCCCTACCAATCCCTGGGGTCCTCGGAAGCCGGCTCCACCCTCTGCAGCCCCCCCGCCCTGCAGGCACTTGCGAGCCATCCCCTCCAAGCCCCCGGCA